ATCATTACCACAACCATCACCTCACGTCACCATTGTTTCTTTTTGGTCCATAGCATTTTTCACATCTGCTCTCTGAATCAGAAGAGCCCCACCAGATGAGGATACAGGAACTCAGAGCAGTAGAACATCTTGCTCAGGGCCACCTCACCGACAGACGGCGAAGACTAGGCTGGAGGCCACATCTATCTAACACCAGCTGCAAGCTGAATCTGTCTTGAGACTCAGGACAGCTGTTTCACTGGCCTATCTTCCCTGGAGAGCTTTTTGACTCAAGGGTTAAGGGGCTGACCATGTGACTAGGTGCAGCAGAGAGGTGGGAAAGTGGGGTTGGCCAGGAGAGAGCGTCTTCCCCAGCCCAGCCCTGAGTCCTCGAGCACTGCTTCCCAGAGACCCAGCTCAAGCAGCCCCGACTCCTCACCCTCCAGGCACTGGTTTCCTCTAGGGAGGCCTGGGAGCCAGGGCCCTGAGTCAGCAGCAGCACCATGGCCACCTGTGGCGTGGGAACCAGACACCTTCACAGCGTCCCAGCTTTAACACGATGTTTGGTGCCCAGTGATGATGGAGGAGAGGCTAGGGGCAGGGTTGGAGGCGGGACTTGGAAGAAATGGGACCATCCAGGCCTGGATCTCTATTCATGTGATGTGTCCACCACACCCGGGGAGTCAACCCCATCAGAAGGGCTTCCCCCTGCTCAGTGGGAAGCCTTGCGCCCAGCTCCCTGCTCCCCTCAGGACCAGGTCCGCACAGGGCAGTCAGGCTCCTCCCCAGCCACATGCCTGCACCAGCACAGGGAGCATGGTCTGCCCTGAGCCCTGGCTCCCGAGGGGCGGCCTCACGCCCTCAGTGATGAGAGTGGGGTCATTTAGATGGAGGATTGTTTCTTTCCTAGGGGCTGAACCTGGGAGGGGCCGCCAGTGAGGGCCAGACCTTAGGGCAAACCCCAGTCTCCCTCCGACCGAGCACATTCCTGGGCTGTGGGCACAGCTGGGTCTGGGGCCGACACGCTGCCCGGCTGGATTTAAGCCACACGGAGACCTCCCAGATGGTGCCGAGGTCCCCATCACGGCCCCCACATCACTGAGCTCCAGCCCCTGTCCAGGCTCTGGTGGCCCCAGGCGCTGTGGCTGCGGAGGTCTGGCTCCTCCCTTAGACCCCCTACTCTCTCCCAGGAGCCGTCTGGAATCACGGTGTTTCCTGCAGGCCTGACGTCACCTGTGGAAGTGGCTTACATGGGTCCCCTTGAACCAGGGCCATTAATTGATGGCACTTAATTGATCTGCCCTGGAGGGAGACCAAACGAAGGCTGTGTCCCCGTGACCACTCGGATTGACTTCCTTGTTCAGGTTGACTGTGGCCAGAGGGGCACCCGGAGTCACCCTGCGCTCCGGCCTCAGGCCGCGGACCCAGCAGCCGGCTGGCCCCACTCAGGATTCCTCACGTGTGGTCGCCTCAAGGCCGATGAGACGGCCCATTAGAGGAGCTGCTTGCTTGCAATTAACGGCTTTGTTTAGGGCATCTTTCCCCTTCAAAGAGCAATTAGGGTTCTGCAGCCTTTGGAAAAAGCGAATGAGCTGGAGCAGGACACCCTGTGAATCAGGCCGGGGGTGGGCAGGGGTGGGGCCTGTGCCCTGCAGAGGAGACCCCCGCCCTCTCTTGCTGCCTGTCAAGGTGAAGGTCGCCAGACTCCGGTCCAGGAGTGACACTCCAGCAGGCCCTGGGGCGGCCAGTGCCCTTTGCCTCACGGTCCAGGTTTGGAGCAGCAGAGCTCTGAAAACTGCCACCCACCCCATCTCCCCCTGCCTCTCACTGCCCTCCCCCACCCCTCCCCCACACAATGCCCTACCCCCTTTCCCTCCCCCGTTCCCCCAACTTTCAGTGCTCTGTGCTCTGAGGCACCCTCCCCAACTCACCCCACTAACAAACATCCCACAAAGCTCACTTGAGACTCCCCAGCACAGGGAGCTGGAGTGGCACCCCCATGAGAGCCTGTCTGCTGGCTCTGGGCCAGACACAACCACCTCCAGGCCCTTGGCCCCCAGGCTGCCTCCTAGCCCACAGCCTTGAGGCCTGGACGTCCCAGGGCCACCCAGGTGCCCAGCAAAACAGGACAGACCTTTCCAGGTACAGCAGGTCGTATCTCTGTGAGTGTCAGAAACCAAGCCAGAGAGACAGAGCTGATTAGCGGGTCCAGGCTGGGGGGCGGGTGACTGCAAATGGGTTTCCTTTTAGGACAGTGAAAATGTCTGGAACTGGGTGGTGGTGACAGTTGTATGACCTTGGGCATATACTACAAAGCCACAGAGCTGCACACTTTAAAACGGAGAGTTTTATGCTACATGAATTATACCTCAATTTTTAAAAACAGGGGAAAAAGATCTCTTACAACTTAATACTAAGAAGACAAATAACCCAATTAAAAACGGGCAGGGGATTTGAGTGGACTTTTAAAATTTTACCAGAGAAGATCCATGGGGGCAAAAGACCCCTCTCTGGTCCTCAGGGACATGCACATTGACGCCACGGCGAGAAGCGGCCACACGTGGCCTGGACGGGCTGGGAGGGCACTGGCCAAACCCGCCCAGGGTCGGGAGGCCGTATGGGATGCCCACCACGCCGGTGGGGTTTCCAGTGGCCTCACCAGCTCAGAAACCACTCGGCTGTTTCTTACAAAGTCAAATGTGCAGCCGGCAGATGGTCAGCCATTCCACTCTTTCACCCAGAAGACCGAAAGCGCACATCCCCGTGAAGATGGTGCCTGCGTGCTCACTGCGGCTCCAGGTGTGGGGGCCACCCTGGCCACTGATGATGCTGGCATCGCCGACTCGGCCGTGCCCCGCGTCCCCCAGTGCACAGGGACAGAGGGGTGCCCGGGCCTGGGGGCCTCAGGGCAGCGGTGCCGAGGGAGGGAGCTGGAGGAACACACTCCAGTGTATGAGGTCTAGAAAGAGAACGTTAGTCTACGTCGTCAGGAAAACCTCAGCGGTTGCCTGGGATGGGCTTAGAGGAGGGGTGGGGAGGAGGCGTGGGGTGTGTCCCGCGCCCCTTCGTGGCAACGGTTTCGCTGCGTCCGCACATCCACTCCCACCTTCGCCACGTGCGGGGAGCTGTGTCAGTCGCACCTGGAAGGTGTGAGCCCCTCCTGAGGCCATCCTGCCCACCGCATCCTCTGCCTGTGTCCCTGAGTGGGGCTGGCAGGTGGCGTTGGTCTCAAACCTCTGGGGTCTCCGGCTGGATAGTCTCCCAGCCCCCTGCAAGGCCGTGAGACCCTCTTCCTGCCCCCGCATGGAATAGGGCCTCTCTCTTGGTCCTCAGAAGTGGGGGGGCCCAGGCGCCAGGCTAACAGTCTCCCTGCCCAGAGCGGGTGCCATGAGCTCTGGGGAGGGGGGCAGGCAGTGGTGGTGGCTAGAGAGGACAGCTAAGCAGGTGGCCTGGAGGCCAGCAGGGCAGTACGGTCATGCCCCCAGGCCCCTGACACCTGTGCTCTGCCCACCTGTGCCCTCCTCTAGGGTGCCTTAGCGCCTCAGCTCTGCTACGCGCCTTCCCAGTTTTCCTGCCTGTAAAATGGGCCCCCAGCACCTCCCTTCTCCGGACCAGTGGGAAACAAGGGAGCTGCTGCTGGACAGTCGTGTCTTACTGGACTCCTGGGATCCCTGATTGTGCCCCTCAAGTGGGGTCAGGGGGAGACTCCGAGGCCCAGGTGCTCCCTGAGGGGTGGCCAAGGTCTTGGAGGGAGGCCCCTAGACAGAGCACACCCCCCCTCCCTCTCCCCCACCACATCTGCCCAGAGCCCCCCCACCCCCGGCCAGGAAAATGGGCAGCAGGGGAAGAGACATTCTCTCCCCGAACTCCCCTCAGCCCAGGCGGCCACTCCATCCCCAGGCCTGGCTGCGTGCGTCCCTGCCTCTCTGTGGAGGGCCTGTCGGGTGGGTCTGTCTGTGTCTCTGCAAAGCTGAACTTTTCCAGCTGCCAACCCACCACAGCCCAGGGAAACAGGATTGCCCTAGACAGAGAACAGAGACACCAAGTGTGAAAAATTGGACTGACAGTGCCGCACTGATAGCGTGTTGAGTGAGTGAGCCCGACTCGGAGGGAAATTTGCATTTATATAGTGCACTGCACCGGGGCCTGGCCAGGCCCACCACGCTGTGTGCTGCAGGACCCAGGCCCGCTGACTTCACCCATCCCGGCCGGGCCACAGAGACACAGCTGCACACCTAGGGGGCCCAAGGCAGGCAGAGCTGGAGACACCAGCTCGGGGGGCAGGGGATGGGGTGGAGTGACCCCCACCAGGTCCCCCAGCTTCCCCCGAGAGCCCTCTGCCCTTCCAGCCAGCCCCCTGCCCTCCAACCACTCTCGGGTCAGCCTCACACCCACCCCTGAACCCACTGCCTTTCTAGAGGCTCCGGCCTCCAGCCTCTTAGCAACTCCCCGACCCTGTGTGTGAAGCTCCAGCCCTGGCCAGCGTGGCACAGAGAAGAGGACACGTGAGGACGCAGAGGACATGGAGGAGGCGCCGTCTGCACGCCCAGGAGAGAGGCCTGAGGAGAAGCGAACCCGCCTGATCGCGACTTCCAGCCTTCAGGAGAGGCTAAATCCTGGTGCCCGGTCTGTGCTGCGCGGTGAGGGCGGCAGGGTTAAGTTCGAGGGAGAAGTGGCCACTTTGGGTGCTGCGTCCTGGGGCTAAGACCCTTCCCCAGCGAGAACCAGACCCCCTCCCCGCCCCGCAGCAAGGGGCTGGCTCAGAGAACAAGCCTAATCAGCCAACAGCAAGGGAGCAGGCTGGCGGGAAGGATGCAGGTCCAGCGCTCACTGCTGAGGGAGGAACAGACGTGGGGAGAAAGCCTCCCAGGACAGAGGACGGAGGTTCTAGACGGTTCCCCTTGATGTCACCCCAACAGACAACCCAAGGATGGCTTACAAGTGGACAAGCTGATGCGAAACTACACAGCAAGGCCAGGCAGGCCCTGAGGAAGGATCCCTGTGTCCGGGGCACAAAACGTCATGGAGCTGCAGGGACGCAGCCCCCCGGCGGTAGGCTGGAAGCCACTGGGCAAACTCACGGAGCAGGCCATGCGTGTGAGGTCCGATGACACCAGCAGTGGTCTTTCAGGGTGGGAGGGTGCGGTGACCTCCAGCACCTCCCCACGCCCCAGATCAAAGCCAGTGCAGGTGAAACTCCCACATTCTTGAAACAAAACCTCCGAGGAGAGGACGCTTTGTAAAGCAACCCAAATCACAGAGGTCGTGAAAGAAGATGAATACGGTTGACGACATGAAATCAAGCATTTCTAAATGGCAAAACCTGCCCCTTCAGAAAGGACAAATGGCGTACAAGGTGGGGGAGTATTTACAACACAACTGAGAGATGAAAAGCTAACATCCTTAGAAAGAAAAAGCTCCTAAAAGATAAGAAGTGAAGAACGGACAACGTCAGAGGAAACACCCGAAGGCCACGGAGGAGGAGGCAGCCCTCACCTGCCAGCCACGGTGCCAGGGCCTCTGCCCATGAGCTGGTTTCCCAGGCGACGGGCCCACCGTCCTGTGCTGGGCCCGCTGACCCCCACCTCCTCCCCAGGTCCCAGACCTGCCCGCCTTCTCTGACGCCGCTCTGGGATTGCCCCCCCCCCAGCTCTTCCTGCCCGCTGGGGTTCGTTACCCTGGGCTTTCCCACACCTGAGGCCTCTGCCTGGCTGAGTCGGTGTCCTGGGGCACCATACCCCGTTTTCAGGGCAAATCTTGCAAGTCAGCTCCTCTTTGGAGCCCTTCTGACCCCAGCTGGCCCCCTTGAGCCCACAGACACATGTTCCAGCCACTGCCCAGGCTGTGGCGTGTAGCTTGTCAGTCCAACAATCCCGAGGCCCAGGAGGGTGGCCAGTTCCCACCTCTATTATGTGGGTGAGGATGGTGCCCGGGAACCGCCCAGGCTGGAACCCAACCGGCACCTGGCTCAGAAGCCCATCCTGACCCCCGCAGCCAGCCTCCTCCTGCTGCACTTGGGACCCCCAGTCTTCCCAGTCTGCTGCCCCTCTGTCTTCCCGTGTGAGCACCCCTGGGGAGAAGGTTGAGCCTGAAGTCTCTCCATGAGCAGAGGCATGTCTCAGGTGCCCGCCATCGGTCAGCATCCAAAGTGGGCTCCAGGCCCTGCCCCCCTGCGCAGCTGAGGCTGCCGGGGCCTTGGGGGTGTGTTCTGGGGCCGTGCCGGCCCAGAGTGGAGCAGCCAGGCCCAGCCAGGCTTCCCAGGGGACGGAGCCACGAGGGCCTCGGCTTCTGGGGGGCCAGAGAGGGCCTTTAGCCAGGGAGCTGTCTCAGCCCCAGAAGCCAGCCCTGCTCCCACGGACGGTCACCCGCGGTGTAGAGAACACTCTGGCCATCTTTGAAAGCTCTAGGGGCGTTTTAACTAAAACTACTTCATTTGATTAACTGAGGGGAGAGGGAGGCTCGACACCTCTCAGGGGTGTCCATCAATTTTGTGGGGACGGGGCGGTGAGCACTACACCAGAGGGCGTCGGGCACGCAGCCATTACCTCCCCAGAAAGGATTTTTCTCTGGAGGCGACAGAGGAGGTTCATCATGTTGCTCACAGAAGTGCATGGCATTTACATATTTTGTAGCAGGAGGGAGAGGGTGGAGGTGAGTCCTGGCCTGTGAGGCCACTGCCAGGTAGGTGCCCAGACATGTCCAGTTGCAGTGGCTGAACCTGGGGGTCCAGGCCAGCACCCTGGGGCCCAGGCTGGAGAAACAGAATGAAAAGGGAGGTTTTGCCCTGAAATTCGAACTGCAGGCTCCCCTCTCCCAGCAGCGACTCCCTGGCTCCCTGTGGCTCGGAGGTCAGGCTCTGGGACACAGCAGCCTCTCCCCCTGCTCCCGCACCAGGCCCTGCTGGACCTCATGCACAGACAGGGGCTGGAGGGCTATGTCTCCATGCAGGGATGGCTGCCCAAAGGCGGAGGGGTCCCCACTCCTGGGGGACAGTAGGAGGGGCCCAGAGCAGGGGGGCCACAGAGCAACCAGAAGCCCCAGGGCCTCATCCTTATGCTGACCCAGCTGGGCATCAGGCCAGACTGAAGGCAGGGGCCTGAGGCCCCCTCCAGCCTCTCTGTGCATGGCTGCCACCCCAGAGGGCAGGGACTTGGAAGGGAAAGGTCCAGGGAGGACAAAGTTCAGGGAGGTCAGAGGCCAAGGAGGGCAGAAGTCTGGGAGGGCAGAGGTAAGAAGGCTCCTGCCCATCCCCTAAAACCCAAAAGTCATTGCCCTGCTCCAAACGTGAAGCCTGACTGGGCCAAGTCAAGAGGGAACAAGGCCCTGGTCAGGGGATTGGCCGGACCATGCACGTGACCTCAGCTGGCCCAATCAGATGCGGCAGGAGGCCGGTGGGGGGGACCAGGCCACCTGTCTGGTCAGGCGGCCAGAGGGGTCAGGAAGGGGGCAGGTGGGGCGCCAGGCAGGAAACAGCCCCAGGCCCAACTTCGGGCAGTGGCCCCAGGACTCTGGAGGGACGCACGAGTCTGAAGAGGGTTGGCAGGTGTCCCTCTGTGGTGGGTGGGGATGGGAGCAGGCAGAAGGTACCACCTGGGGGCAGCAGGGAGGCTACAGGGAGACTCCACTGACCAGGCTGGGTGAGGGACAGGGCGTCAGCTGCCCCCAGCTGCCCAGGGCCGTGGTCAAGGGTCCAGGCCCCCCACCCACCCCCTCCAGGAGTTGACTCAGCCGTGTGGAGTGAGAGCGGAAGCCTGGCGAGCTCGGACCAGGGCCGGGGGCAGGGCTCTCTGGCCACGTGGGTCTGCGGTGGGGAGGCTGGGCCCTTGAGGCACCCCGGAGAAAAGTGTTCCCAGACACAGGCCCCGAGGCGGGCTTTGGTGTGACGTTCACGCTGCCTGTGAGGTATCAATCTTCACTTCCTCCAAGACAAATGCCTCGTCAGGCCGGGCGCTCAGACCCCTATTTATCACCATTTAATACATATTAAAGCGCTCTCACCTCTGATTGCGAAAACAAACAAAAAGCTGCATCAACCCTGGGGCAGCAACAGGCAGGAGGCAGACGGGGTATGAGCAGGCCGCAGGGCCCCCTCTGCCCTGGCGGAGCCCCAGGGACCCAGGGCAGGCCAGCTCTCCCTGACTGTCCTCCACCACAGTCATCCCAGAACAGAGGAGGAAACAGAGGGGCCCATACCAGCAAGGGGCCCACCCCCAGGGCCCCACTCTGGGCGGATCTCAGCCCAGGGCACTCGCCTGGCCAGCCTGGCGCTATGTGCTGAGGCCGTCTCAGCCCAGGTGGTCCAGGGGTTAGGGAACCCCAGTGGAGGGGAGCTCCTGGCTCTGCTCCGAACACACAGCCCAGGAAGGGAGCCTGGCTCTGCCTCCCCTCCCAGGGGCCCTGTGGCCTCCAGGTCAGGAGAGGGACGGAGGTCCAGCTGGACAGAGCTGTGCCCTGGGCCTCTGTCAGGTATTCGCAAGGAAGACTCCTTCCTCGGGAGAAGTGGACCCCCTTCCCGGGGAACACGGAAGTAATCCAAGCACACACTGCAGCTGGAGACAGCGAGGAGTGGACAGAGCCTTCCTGTCCAGCGCAAGGGCCGCTGTTGACTTCTTAGTGTGGCCGAGAAAGACGGATGCTGTAGGGGTCCAGCGCCAGAGCCAGGAGCCTCAGGCACAGCGCAGCCCCGCTCTGTAGAGGAAGAGGCCCCCAGGACCGACGGGCTTGTGCAGCTGCCGTCCCCACTCCCCGCTGGGGACCCCACCCGGCCCCAGCCCTGCCCTCTCTCTGCTCCGCCTCTCTCACCCCTCCCTCAGCCGCCATCGTCCTTCCCATCCCATAATAAGCCCGGCCCCTGGGGGTGGAGCCCCTGTGGTCGCCCCCAGCAGTGGGGGCTGTGGGCGCCGCAGTGGGAGGGAGGGGCGCGGGCTCGGGCCACTAAATCAGTCCACGCCTGTCACCAGCTCGGGGCCGCGGGAGCCGCCCGAGCGGAAATAACAAATGGCTGTCATTGTGGAGCCAAAACCTGTGATTATAATTATCACATCCTCGGTGACCTTGCGTAAACTTTAATCCCTCTCCAATGGAGCATTTAAATAGCCTTCGCTGCGCACCGCGGAGCCCCGGCCCGCCCGCCGCGCCCCCAGCCCTGGCAGCTCCCTGGGGGCAGGGGCGTCTCTGGAACCAAGAGCCTCCTGGGGGCGCCGAGTGGGGCTGCCTGAGACCCACCCCGCTCCCCAGCTGGGGAGGGGCCCCCATCACTCCGTTTCACAGTGGCTGGCACAGGGATGTCCAGCGGCTATCAGGGATGAGGGGGGCTGGGCTCCAGTCCAGGGCCCAGAGTTATCCTCTGTCCTGAGACCCCTGGGGTGGGGACTTGGCCGTGACTGTGGGGCCTGGGGTGCGACCGCTCAGACCAGGGCTCCATGCGAGGGTCTCCAACACTAGCTCTGCCGACGTGGGGAAAGCTTGGGGGCCAGGGTTGGGGGAGAGGGGAGCCCACGGAGGTTT